AATTGGGTCTGGCAATTTTGGTTCGTTATATCCAGGGTTCGGTATAAATAGGTTCGGTATAAACAGTGTCAACTGTACACAGTGAAACCGGATATAACGAAGAAGACCGTGCAGACACTTTTCTTCTTTATATCGAGGGATTCGTTATATCCAGGAAATTTTACTAGACAAAATTCGAAACAAAAAAAAAAAAAAAGCATCGCTATATCCAGGTTTTCGTAATATCCAAACTTCGTTAATCCAGGTTCACTGTGTAGCAGTAAAAGAGGTTGACCGACTTGCAGTTTATCGCGACTTTACATATGTTGATCGACTTATCGAGGGACCGACTTATCGAGTCTGCCTATACTGAAATGATTAACGTTAATGGACAAAATGTACACTATTCTTAACCTTTCGACTACCCGCATTACGTAAAATAGTCGGGATATAATCAAATCGAGCAGTAGTAAACGGGAATTGTACAGTAAATTGCTGTCCTATCGCTACCATAATTCGAACTTAAAAAACTTACTCATTACGTTAATAATTTCAGTATGGCAATAGTGCATTAATCAGTATTGCTCAAAATCCGCTAAGAAACAGGGTTGGGCGTGGAAAATGCTAAGGTATGGGCCTTCCGCGTAATTTGTTTATACAAAACTCAATAGAAATTAATGCTTACAATTCAGATTTATTGTAATTCTATCGTTATATAGAGGCTGTAATTTCTCAACAGAAAATGGAATGTTAATAATTTATGGTGGTCGCTTCTTCCCTTACACAGATTTCCAAACCTGTTACCCCAAATCCATATCGGGATGGGAGGCGAGCCAACGCTATATACAAATAACTAGATCAGGTAAAAGGGAGTTTGTAATAAAATTATTGTAACAGGTGAGGTTATAACTAATGAGAGTGCACTATTCATATGCGACAGTATATAGAGCTCAATCGTCTAGAATTAGTTCCAGTATATTTGCGACGAAAATACTTAAACAAAAGCGGATGTCATATATAAAAGCTAATACAATAACATCATCAGCAACAGTATCATCATCAGCGGAAACCAGCAAATCTACAAAACACGCATCGAATTTATTAGTTTACAAAAATATACTTGACCGCCAAAGTCGACATAGTCAAAAAGATAACTCTACCGACAAAGATACTCGATCTTCGGATTCGATAAAACAACCTGAATTAGCTCTTCTTTTATCATGGCGAAAAATTTTCAACAAAAGGCCGATATATACAAAGCGGAAGCAGAACGAACCCCTTGAACAAGAAAATATGACCAACTCGTCGATCATGGAAGGGGCACTAAAAGTGCTTATGGGAGTATTGTTTAAATTAATAAAGCATCCGCACGGAACAAACAGAAAGAATGAGACTATGCAAGCCACAGTTGACGATACAGAATCCCTGTCCATGAATCAGTATATGTCTCCAGACTATCTTGAACTAGCATCAAAAACGTTACATTCAGACTCGGCTTTAACCTCTGTGGGTGAACCTTCCCTACGCGTTTTTACCATTCCTTTTGGTTATCTTGATGCGTCTCTCTTCTCTGAATATGAGGACTTTGACGACGAGGACTTTATCATTGAGACGTCCTTTCCTCTAGATAATTCTTACAAGTTTATCTCCTCTGAGGAAGATGACGAGGACTTCTTCAGCCATTTAACTGATGACAGTTTGTTAGGGTCAGATATACACAAGACGGTCTCGGATCGTAGACATATTACCAATGAACTTGAGAATGAGGATAGCTCACAGCATCGTTTGGATGATGGTATGCAGAAGCTTAAGAGCTTCGGCGAAGTTGATTCATACAAGCTAACTGATAGTGGTATACAGCATGTAAAAAGTGAGAGCATATCGCCGAAAAGTTGTAAAAAGAAGACAAAAAAACAAGCAGGCGGGCATGAGACGTCAACTGCTGCAACGACAGAGTTGAAAAGTTTTAGATCGAGAACAAGAGGTGGAGGTCTACAAGAGGACTCTATAAGAAGACGGGCTAAGCGAAAGAGAAACTCAAAGACAGACAATTTCGTGCATTTGTAAAATTTTATTTTTTTTTTTCAAGCAGCAATCAAAGTAGAGTGACCAGTTGGTGGAAAAGGGGAGTTATGGCTATATACTGCGTCCGAAATGTCTTACCTTGACATGTATTGTATTGACATTTGAATTATTAAACGACTAAAATGCTCGAATGTTAGCCAGTAATAAATTTGTGTACGTTCTCCATCCATTTCACATATTCTTGTTGTTCTTTATATTCTGCGTAGGTTGGGACAAATATCGCCAACGACTCATTAATTCCGCGTTCCTTCAAGTATTCTTCAAAGAGCCTTTGGATGTCCTACATGTCATACGCAAAACCCAAAATTAAACTTTCGCGATTACAGTTACATACTCTTATCTAACGGAATTATTAAAATTAAACGAAACTCACATCATCCAGTGTCTCATATGTTGGTCCACTATAAAGAGATCGTCTCTTCCACTCAGATTCAGATGAAGTCCCGTCTATAAGGCTTGCGTCTGCAAAGTATGCGACATGTTCTAAAATAGCAGTACCTTCCTCTAGTACGAGATCAAAGGCCAACACGCCCTTGTTGTCCTTTTCGATTGTTACAGAACAACGGTAAGGCAGCTTTATGAAGCGAATAGCCGCTTCGTCTGACGACTGTCTCTACAAAATATAAGAGTACGGATAACTTAGTAAAGTTTAGCTTTTAATCATAGTCAATGGCTTGAAGAATAATCGATCAGAATTGTCTTGTTGATCACCATTGCTTGATTTGGCTCTGATGTCCCTATCTATTATTGTCTTTCAATCGTCATTTGAACAATAAAATTACTGAATTATTTAGTTGATGCTTGCCTCATCATCCGAATAATACTGAGGCTCTTCTTCGTCATTTTCGGGTTTTTCAGCATAATCATCAGGGTCTCCTTCGAAATCAGGATTGGTAATATCGAACGTGACCCTTATCCTACGGACGGGTTATTAAATAGACAATTACAGGATGTCAATTGTACTAAATAATTAACGTTGATCATCAAATTTTTCGTTGAATTACCGCTCGTTGCCAAACGTTCGAGTCAGAGTAACGGTGTTGGAATCTGGTTTATCTTCGATCTTTAATACAATAGACGTGATGATATAAATTCGGACGATCGGTTGAGACATTAAGAGTATGATTAGAACGCATTGAATTCCATTAAATGTGTACCTTGAAACTATTATTTTCCGTAAAATTCTTAATAAACGCGGTATCAAAGTTTTCTGCTTTTTCAAATTTGAGTTCCTCTGACAATTTACTAGCTAGATCTTGATCGGCTGTTAAACGCGAAGAAGGCATCAAAAATCATTTGTACGCCATTAACAGCGTACAGTCAGCACAAAGCGTTCATATACAAACAATACTAAAAACAAACATACACAACCCATGACCTATTAATCGAATACCACTGCATGAAAAGGCGCGGACACAAGAGCGTATAGGATTTATTGTTAAGCTTTTATTACTAAAGACCTTATTGGCAAAAGCCGCCGGTTGTGTAGAATTAGTAAATACTGTGGAAAGAGCGCGACAAGGTTGACGTGTCCAAAGGGTTGTAGGTTGTGTAAATACACGAATATTGCGAAGAAAACGGGCCATATTATTTGGTTATATTAGATCAAGTTGGGTTACGGGAAACAAGAATTGGGACAAAATTTTTTTTGGATTGTCAAAAAAGATTCTTTGATTGAAGATCACAAGACTTTTTGTATTGTATACATCAAACATCTACGGTCACGTGATTATTTATATATGTAAGATTTGAAATTAAATTTTGCAGTCATGTGTCCGTAAATTTTTTGATGGGTAGTTTGTTGTATACATGATACAATGGTCCGGTTGAAAAATCGTTGGCTTCTGTTTGAAATCACATACGACTCTACGCGTCCACCTGATCTGAACCTGAGAGATATTTCGTCGGTCGTCAAGGAATCGATCAGTTTTAACTTTGGAGATGTTGGACTTGGTTCTATTCTTAGTTCAATCAGTGGTAAGCGATAGGTGTGCTTTGACCTGATATTGATTATTATTGTCTGTTCTAATTTAATTCATGACCGTCAGTCAAATACTATTCCTCGTTAACAGGGCTTGGAATTTTACGGGTTTCACGTGATAAATATACAATGCTATGGGCGGCTCTTACATTTATTACCGAAATTAAGAATGAAAATTGCCTGATAAGAGTTGTACATTTAGGAGGCAAGGGCTATCATGATTTAAAGTCTTGGTTGCTTTCTTGCCACGATCTTCATGCTTTGCATTTTATTAGGAACCATAAAAAAATGCCAACTAGCAGCCATTGAATATGATCGACAACAAATACTTGCACTCAAACATGCAGATAAACTCAAAGGTATGCGCATCATACATTTCAACAGAGAAATAATTGGCTGGTATTGATGCCAAATAATCATTACGTTCTATAGATGATCAAGATGTCGATCATCTCTTGGAGCGATCCCGGCGTGAAATTATGGCGGTCGAAATATGAGCAATCGAATATTTAACAGGAGAAACGCGGTCTAAATATTAAAGTTCTATATTTTAATTAATTCTCACACCATTATTCCCATATTGATCTATCCCTAAAGCCCATCTGTTCTATAATAATCGTAATCACTCAATCAAATTTTTCTCCATTGGACAATTCGGTCTGCGACATCCCCCAGTTCTTTGTGGTCGGGGTTCTAAAGTATCTGTATTCACGCGCCACCAGCGATGGCCAACTTACGTACTCACTTCCATTGCTAATGATGAAACGTACAAGAAACACGATGACGGCCAGACACGCGAATGTCACAAGCCTAATGGAGATTGCGTACTCTACGTGATTGCGATCACAGTTGATATTAGAAAGAAGCTTTAGAGTCGACAAGGAATAATCCAACTTTGCATTTACCTGGTGAATGAGGTATTAAAAACATTAAAAGAAGCATGATAGTCGACACCGACAGAACTTGTGGCGCCTAGTTTATAAAAGAGAAATCTGTCATTACATATTCGATTACATACAACTATTGCGAGTACATTTTCAAACGATATATACCAGTCTAATATGAACTGCTCTCTGATCAACAAATGGCGACATTGCTCTAAACTTCACTTCATAATTGCCTGTCAATAAATCATATGCATCCTAGATACAGAGAGAATGGAACTGTTATTATTCAAGGTGATTTGGTAACAGAACACAGAGTGAATCGCTTATTTTACCTACCTGACGCGAGCCATCCAGGAAATTGTTAGTTATATATCTAGTAACAGCATTTTGGAGATCCTGCAACATACCTTCCTTCGTCCGCTTTCCAGTACTACATGAAGAGAATGGTAATAAAAGAAATTAGATATGGCCTATATACGAACATTTAGACGCGAAATTTTTGGTTGTAGGGCACATGATTACGTGCGTACCGAGTCAAGTCAGTTTTCAATGCTCCCGTACCAGAATAAGCAAGGCTTACAATGTCGGCATTATCAGCCCAAGCTACAAAAGACAAAAGCTTTAGATACTGCACAGGTGTTGCAGGCCCAATCTTATGACATTTGATACTCACTATTTCTGAACAAGTGCATAAACTCTAATACTTCGTCAATGCGTTCTTTGTTGCTTAAAACCCCGATAGCTCTCAACTGTTGAGTTAATACCCACTTTGCAATTGTAGATTGTACCACATTCGTACGGTCCAAGCAATCCATACAGTTTGTACGAACAACTGATGTCTGTGTTTTGCATATTTGAGAACCTTCCGCATGGAAATATCTATAACAATAGTAATAAAACTGTCAATAAACAAGAAATGTCACGGTATCTTTTGATGTGCTATCGCAAGCCCCTAGCCTTCACAGAACGGTATAGCGTACCATCGCTTCTTCACATATTTCCCACACTAATAACCACTCACCCCTGTTGCAAAAGCTCGTTTTCTATTTGGTCAATTAAAATTTGAATTCTGTCCCATTTCATATTACGACATTCGTGATGGAAGTCAAAGTGGTAATATGACAGCCGAGAGTCACCCAATCGAGAAACGGTGTTCTTAAAAGCTTCGCAAATTGGAGATTCATAGCCCCTCTTGTTAACCAGGCTGACGATTATGGTTTTATCATAATATTTAGTTTGTTCATCGAAATGACGACGAGCCGCTTGTAACTACATGAACCAAGATGTGTTGATAAATATATAAAATTACGCTAAAGATGTGGATTAAAAGATAGTCGAAGTAAATACTCAGTGACAACACTGTCATCTTTATTCTTTCTCGTTACTAACCGTGTCCGGCAACTCCATAATTACCAACTTTGGCGTATATTTGATGTTATTAACCTGTGCCCAATATATAGGTATGGATCCTCTCGTCTGAACATAAGATAGTTTCACCTTCCCCTCGAACTCGTATTTATCTTCCAAAGGATCCACTTCAACAATTTGCTCGGTTTCGACATAGTTCGAGACATTACCATCGCGATCCACACCTCGAGAAAAGAACCGAGTTCCATTACGGAATCTGCTACGACGAGAAATAAGGGCAAAGTTCGTTGCGCGAGATTTTATACTCGTTTGGTGAATGGAAACAACTATAATCGATAAGTTAGTGTAAGAATACAGAGACTGAAAGACAGATCGAGGGAAATTATGACACTTACAGCCGAATACGACTGGTAATATAAAGTCGCTTAGCTAAGAATTTAAAACCGTATAAGACCAAGGTAATAAAATATATATATATATATTTGAATATCGCCGGTCGTAATTGACAACTTACATCTTGATCAGGATTATTCAGGGTGATATCGATAAGTTTAGATTGCAAGTATCGATTCCAAAAAAAGCGATCATCCGCCTGTTTTACAATACATCAATACATGCAATTCAGCTTAAGTACGAATCTCATACAATATTTACAAATCGCAAAATCATTTGCTTAACCTACTTTACGCCATAATGCTGCCCCTGGTTGACTATTCAATTGTGATTGTCGTTGCAATGTATTAGTCAAGTCATACGTGTATGAGAAATAGTATAGTCCAGCTTTCAATTGTTTCTCGATGATATTCAAATAATGATCTTCGTCTTTAGCCTAAGGAATTAATTATGGACAATTAATAACAACAATCATTAGGACAATACGAATTGATCGTATTATTGTGATCTTGTAGCTGCAGCTAATTGCCGAGCTGTCTGCATTCTAAAGGATGATTGAATGTCTAATCATTTTACCTCTGATTCCGTTAAATGTCGAAAATCTTTCGCGATCGGAGTCAACGAGTACTGTTTTGCTTGGAAAATGTCATGTCCACCTAACCTACCGACTCGTTCTCTTTCGGTAATTGCAATGAGATATTCACCTAAACTATATCAGCATCGGTTGCGGACTATCACCCAGGACTAAAAAATCTTTAAGCAATTTACCAGCTAAAAGTCTGATTACACCAAAGATTCCATATATAGTGAAGGTCGTAAGAAAGGGGACAGAGTCTGTTCCTGGCGAATGATTTAATTGGATCATAATGATATATTACTGAAAAATAAAAGCCTGAATGACTAGGAAACAGATTACAGGATCATATACCATTTTGATTCAATACAAAGTTGCCGGTATCTCTGTTTATTACCAACGCACGAGTTGGAGAAGATGGATCCAAATAGACTGGAACAAGTGTATATGTATCAGGTGTTATGCATCTACAAGATAGCAACAATCGTTATGATATATAACTGCCATGATGACTAAGAGTTTGCTTGTCTCAAATTAATGGATTTTGCCTCGTTATTTTGCAACTAGCTTCCACGCTTATGAAATAGTTCAGTGCCACTCTATACTTCTAACAGTTTAATGAGATAGACGATCTCAATAACCTACACTCTCAAAGACTCGTGTACCATTTTCTTTTTGGGTGCAGTATTTTGATGCTGAAAGTTGAAATGTCGCAAAGGAAGATTAGTTGGCAGCTGCCGTAAATAGAAGTCAAGTAAAATTCAGACTGTGGTACGAGAGTCATCGTTTAATATCGTGACCTCTATTTAAATAGTGTATCACTAAATTGGACCGAATTTTCAGTTTGATGACCCACCCACCTATTTATTTGGGGAACGCACAAGCAAGAATGAACACAAAGAAGCAGCAAGCTGAACAAAACGAACCCTACAAGAGTCACAAGCTTCACAAAGACGACAACATCAACAACAGCAACAACCAATTATCCGCACTATGAATTAGCATCGTTTCCTGGGATAAACATCTGCGTTTGCGGAATAATGATCTGCGTAATTTGTTTATCGTGTAAATATGGTTACACTCTGGTAAAATATCCAGGCTCTCCAAGTCGCATATAGTCAGTGAGTAGATTTCCTTATTATGTGTTTTCTGTATTGCTATCTTGCTGAATGTAAAGTATACTTTCCACACTAGGCACTATATGTCACTAATATGTGAGAGTAGTATTAACGAAGAATCGAATTTGTCATATGTCTGAGAGAACTTGTTTGGTGGATTATGTTAATATCGTCAAATTCTAGAACAATACATTTTGAGCAAAAAGGTAGACTGTTGATATTGCAATTATGCTAATTACCTTTACAGGCAACCCTCTCTATGGTCATACTATTGGGAACAATGCACTTTTGAGAGGTTAGGTTGTGACTATATTAGATAATGGTATGATTCTAGGTACAAGGGTAGATAATGCAATAATAAAAATTCTCTGAATCCCAGTTTTTGAAGATGAGGCTGCTGTCACTCCTCTTAAATCCTGCAAGGCACAAGGCACATTCTTGTTGGTCCACTTATCCTATTACTATGTCG